CGAAACATTGAGCTGCAAGTGAAGCAAACTACAGCGAAGCAACATCGAGTGAACCGAAGAGGTTCACAAAAACCTAACAGCAAGAAGTTGAGGGAAGGTCAAAGGTCAGCGACCTTTTACTAGACGAATTACAGCACGACAGCAAGGACAAACAACTGACTCGCTATTGAGCAGTTGCCCGAGTCGCGACTGTATCGAACCGCAATTGCAGTTACAACAACAGCAGTTATATCTTTTCATATTCCTTGTAATCATGTAAAAACCCTATATTTGTTTGTTGTAATCAACTTATCTTGTCCTCATATACTAGCACAAGGTGGTTCAACAAGCTCATTAAGAACGCTTATGGAATTACACCATAATCCTATGTCTTAGTCTTAAACGATCGTAAATTATAGAATAGATAAACTATAAAAGAGTTGGGTACAAATAGCAAACCTTAGTTCGTGTACCCAGTACCCCCTACAGCTAACTTCACTATAGCATAAATAACAACATGCATATAAGTTTGACACTCCCCCATAGGCTAAGTGAGGGCTAGCTAGAGCAAACAATGGTCAAAAGATTAAGTCAAGAGATGAAACATGTTACGAATAGTAATGAGTGGAACATTTCTGTGCACTCCTAGCCGCAACAAATCGAAGCACGCAGTACCGAGGCTGAATTTGAAAGGACAGGAGTGATGCGAAGGGTCGTACGGTTACGAAAGGATCTGGACCGTCGGGCAGACAACACCGAGCAGCAGCAGTGGCGAGGATTCTGCGGCGACAGTTTCGTAACTGTCTAGAGTCGCAGGGTTGGGTCTTGCTGTAATAAGGGAATGCACCCCTTAGAGTACATGGCTAGCTAGGTCGTTTCATGCTATATCTGCATGTTTTAATCATCTCAAGCATTTTACATTCACTCTGCTATTGAGGTCAAGGGCCCACCACTACTCTAACGTGTGCGAACCTTCCCGAGGTGATCCTAGGGTCGATCATTCTCTGATCGTAACATGGTATCAGAGTGACTCGGGAATCCTTCGCACTGCCACCTCCGAAATCTTCGACGAACAAAAAGTGGCGACCGGCACACGCTCGCGTGTGAGAATGGCCGGAGGATCTGGCGGTTAGATGAATCTGGCGGCTGAATCGCAACCCAACCCGTCTGCGACGAGCGAGGAAACGACGACGATTGGGACCATCGTCCTCGCACAACTGCTTCAGCGACTCACCAGCCTGGAGCAAGGAATCTAGACATTGCGGAATGACGACGCGAGAACTTCCTCGCAACCCTCTCAACCGGCCCCAAACGGACAAAACACCGCCCCGCACACCTTCTCCCTCGACACAAATGGCTCAACCCCCAAGACTCCCCGTCCCAGCGAAGAAGCAATTCTCTCTGCACAATCAATGTTCCCGAGTATATTAATAATAAAGACAAGTGTGTGCTTTGACGGCAGAGATTTCTATACCTGGAGCTTCGAGCTGGAGCTCCTACTGCAGAACGCTCAGATTTTTCACTACTTCGACGGGAGCTACGCGGAACCATCTGAAGATACCGGCGACACCAGGACGAGGTACTACAACGAGTCCCTGATGGCGTACGTGGTTCTTCTGCGCAACATGTCGCCGGCGGAACAGTTGAGCGTTCGCTCATACAAAACTTCACAAGCTCTAGCCCTCGACGCTTGGCGCCACCTGAATGGAGTGTATCAGCCGAAAGACTCCGTCTCTTCGAGCCGCCTGCTCCAGCAGCTACTGGAGACGAAAATGGCCCCAGGGGAGAAGGCCAATAGCTTTTTCAACCCCTGTCGAAGCCTCCGCGATCAAATCACGAAGTTGGGAAGCTCGATCTCAGAAGAGTTTTTTGTCAACATCGTGCTTCAAGGGCTCGGCCCAGAGTGGCGGCCCTCCAAGGTGCTTCTCCGACAGCAGGGGGTCATCTCGGAGGCCGCCCTTTGCGCCGCCCTTCTCGTCGAACAACGGGATATGGACCAGCAGCGACCAGCGCCGCGACGAGAATGAGAACGTCTCGCCTTCTACGCTGACAACACGGAAGAGCGACGACCGCGGCGCCTTTACTGCAAAATCTGCAGGAACTTCGGGCATCTGGCAGATCGATGCAAGTCCCGATCTCGCCCTCGCCAGACCAATCCGAGCAACTGGTCCGGCCGACAAGACGCACGAGGCGACGTGCGTCCAGCCCAGGGGTATCAACCCCCATCGCGCAACCTGAACCCAGCGGTTCAGCATCAGCAGCAGCAGCCGTTACCGCCTGCCCCAGTACGCAATGTAATGGGGAATATGGCTATAACAGGCGAGTCTCATCGTCGCCGCGTGCGCTCACCATCACCTGAGCCAGCTCCGCATCCCATCAGCGCGTTCTCCAATAACAACCCATTCAGCACGCGCCATGACTTCACCGACGACGACGATCAAGATTGGAACTTGCCAATCCCGCTGCTCATAAGTCCCCCTCACGTACCTGACATGGGGGTGGCGCCACTCGATTGGCTCTCACGCTAGTAGTTCTTAAAGTTCGACACTCCGCACATCGTCACGCCGCGACTGGCGCTGCTCGCACGTGACGACAGGAAGCGCTACAACACTTGGTACCTGAACAGTTGTTGCGGCCAGCACATGGTGGGCTCCGAGCGTTACATATCCAACTCCGCCCCCACCCCCACGGTCACCTACGTCACCGTGGCGAACAATACGCGCCTGCGCGCAAGCGCGCAAGGCATCGTCGTGCTCAAAGCACGAGGAAGCCGCACACACATCTCCCTCAATGACGTACTTATCATCCAGAACCTGCGCTTCAACCTTCTGTCCGCCGCACAGCTCATGGATTGCGGCGTCGACCTCAGCACGGATCGCGAGACACGCGACATCCTGCTGCACTACGAATCGCTAACTATTTCTCGCAGGCAGATCGGAATAGCGCACGCCGAAAATGGCGTATACATCCTCGACTTCGTTATTCCCGACTGCAGCGGCAATTCGAACGAGTTAATCGATCTCGTTCCACTGCGCTTCGAGCACACTCACCCCAGGGACTGGAAACACCCTGACGGAAGACCGTGGGTGCCGCATCACCCTCACCCACGTGAACTGGCGCTGCACAACCTGGACCCAGACGGCATCTGCAGGGACTGCCACACGCCCACGACGTCAACCAGCGCGATTGCCGGCCGTGGACTTGCCGCCATCGCCGAAGCAGAGCGACATGCACCGCCAGAAGAAGGAATGTCACACCTGGAGCTCGAGATCACCACGCGTGGCGTATTCGGCACGCCTGAACATCCCCTTCCCGGACCAGCATCGTAGCATCTCCAAGGCATGCTGCGCGGTGTTGGCGTCGGCACTTTCGATGCGCATGGCGAGCCGCGACCTTACACAAAGGAGAAGTTCATGGAGATCTAACCTCATTGGCGCGACCCCGCAATGTAACTCATCATGGAGCAAGAAGAAGACATGGCGCGCCGCGAAGCAAAGGAGCTTCGCCGACAGAGCCTCACCGAGGCATGCGGCACATTCGCATGTGCTACATGGGGTGCCGAAGAAGAAGAAAGCGCCTCCAATGAAGGGGGGTGGGGAAGCGCTGGCGGATGGGGAACAAGCGACACCGGCGGATGGGGCAACACCGGCGGCACCTGGGCAACCGCAAGTGGCGGCTAGGGCGTTGCATCTGGCGCAAAAGGCAGCGGTTGGGGGACTTCCCGCGAAGACCAAAAGGGGGGAGAAAAAACAGAGGCATCACCTGCTATTGTTCCCCTCGGTCGTCCCCCGCGTCGCGATGCACCTGCGTTACCTCCACCTGACATCCAGCCGCACCGTGACCCATGGGACATCATCCATTGGGGCAACGAGCCATCGACTCCGCGCCTTACCGTCTACGGGCCTGCCCTCGAACCGCGTGAACCCACCTTCGTCCCTGGAACTATCATTGGGACCAACATTTCTCTCTCCAAAACTCGCGACAGAGAATTCTTGGCGCTGATGTTAACTACCCCCAACGACGAAGACGAAGCAGCAGAAGAAGTTGTACATGATGAAGACCTCCGGTTACATGCGCACCTCCGGTTTCCGCGCTGACGATGCACTATGGCACCAGCGCCTTGGACATCCCTCACGCGCAACGCTAAAAATTTGCATCGACGCAGGGGTTTTCGCACCTGGCGCACTCCTACGCCCTAACGGCACCAAAATGAGAAGCACAACACATCCACGCAACTGCACCGTCTGTCCTAAAGCTGCACTGAGTCACCAGCCATTCCCGCTGCTCGAACCGGGAACCAACCGCTACCCCAAGCTGTACAAGGTCTTTAGTGACTTCCTGAACGTGGGGCACTGTGGAGTCAATGACGAGCTATACACGCTCACCTTCATCGAGCTGGGACACGCTATGTAACGTGGAAGCGCGCAGTAGAGCGTATGAAGAATTTCGTCTCTGGCTAGCGCACGCGAAGCGGCAATCTAGGGAGAAGCTGAAAGTTTTGCAATCCTACGGAGCAGCGGAATTCAGGAGCAAAGAGATGCAAGACTACATGGCGCAAAAGGGGATCGAGCACCACATCTCTCTCCCCTACGCGCACTAACAGCAAGGCGTAGCGGAACGTTCGAATCGCACACTCATGCCAAGCAGTCAAAGCTTCCGCCGATCTATTGGACCTACACGATGCACCACGCTGTGCGGTTGCACAACCGGCTGTCAACAACAGCCATCACCAGCAACTCGTCGCCGTATGTAAAATGGACCGAAACCAAGGGTGACACCTCCATGCTCCGCGTGTGGGGGTGTATGGCGCAATACTGCCCGCCAGCCTCAACTATCGGCAAGTTTGTGAGCCGCGCGCGCTGGGGAATTCACCTCGGCATCAGTCATGAGCACAAGGCATGGATCATCCTGGACCTGCTCAGCCAGAAGACGACCCACACGCGACGTCATTTTCTACAAACGCCTCTTCCTTGATCAATTCTGCCACGACGAGCAAATGAACGCAAACCGCGTATACGCGAATGACGGGCACAGCTACGCAACACCCGAGGACGAAGCCGCTGCAGCAATCTTGGAGCAGGACACCAGGGGCTTGTTTACGAGAGGAGATCGCCACAGCAGCGACGACGACGACGATTCCCCTCGGGGAATGGGCGGAACGGGAGGAAGCGGCAGAGGCGCAGCGCCACCAGCACCACCTGAGCCAGAGAGCGACAACGACGACGTGCAGGAAGTTATCCCACAGCATCGTCATGACAGCACCGTCTCCGGACTGCAGCTACTCGGGCTCCACACCGCAACCTCAAAGGCGCCACGTGTCATCGAGCCGAGAAATCCGCGCCAAGCTCTCACTGGACCACATAGCAAGGAGTGGTGCGAGGCAATGGATGCGGAGATTAAAGCGCTTGAGTCCCGAGATACTTGGGTGCTGGTCGACCGCGCAGCGATCAAGGAGCAAGGGTCCTCTCGGGCAAGTGGGTCTTCCGCGTGAAGACCACAGCGGACGGCACAATTGAGAGATTCAAGGTGCACTGGGTAGTGCGCGGCTATGACCAGAGGCACGGCATCGACTTCAACCAGACATTTGCGCCGGTCAGCCGTCACACTTCCGTCCGAATTCTGCTCGCCATCGCAGCCGCCAGGCACCTGCCTCTGCGCCAGATCGACGTGAAGAACGTGTTCTTATACGCGTTAGTGGACGCCGTGATCTACGTGGAGCAGCCGCACACATACGCGAAGGGGATTCGCGCGTTTGCCAGCTGCGGAAATCCCTTAACGGGATCAAACAAGCGCCGAGACTCTGGCAGCAGTATCTGCACAACATCCTGCTTGAAATTGGTTTCAAGCAGCTGCCTCACGACCCGAGGATGTACTGCTGTGATTTTTGCGGCGAATACATTCTGCTCACGGTCTACGTCGACGACCTCCTCTACACTGGGTCAAGCAACGAGCTGCTCGAACAGTTCGAGAGGAATCTGGCGGGGTGTGTCAACATTACCTGCAACTACGAGGTGAAGTAATTCTTAGGAATTAATATCTCCTACGCGCCAGAAGCTATCCACCTCTCAGCAGCTAAGTACGCAGAAAAGCTTGGGAAACACTTCAACATTTCGCGTGCACCACTCTCCACTCCCTACCGCACTCCCGGACCGAACCACAAACCCGACAACAAAGCCCTATCACCCGCTGGTATTCAAACTTATCTGCACTAGCTGGGATGCCTACTCTTTGCCTCTGTCACCTGCAGGCCCGACCTTTCCTACATCGCGAGCCTCTCCAAACCAACGGCTGAGAACCTTCTGGATCTGCAGCGCGCCCTACAGTTCTTCGTTTCAACGCCCAAGATTGGGCTCTGCTACTCAACAGTGCTGACCCCGTCATTTAACCTCATCGGCTACGTGGACGCTGATCACGCTGCAGACCCGGACAATCGACGATCCAGGACTGGCTTCCTATTCCGCCTCAAGCCGACGGGACCAATCTCATGGAACTCGCAGAAACAGGAGCTGGTTGCCCTGTCATCAGCCGAAGCAGAATTCATCACAGAAACATCAGCAGTTCGCAAAGGCCTCTACCTGAAGGAACTCCTGCAAGAGGCGAAAGTCCAATTTTGCCCACCTTTCGCCTGCACTGCGACAACCAGAGCGCGATCCGCATCGCGAACAAGCCCGGATTCGTCAACCGCACCAAACACATTGCGCTGCGGTACTTCTTCGTCAAAGTCAAAGTGGACAAGGGAAAGGTAGACTTAACGTACTGCCCAACGGAAATGGCAGCAGACTTCCTCACAAAGCGATTGCCACGTCAGCAGTACCAGCACTGCTCCGAACTCAGCGGAGTGGTCAAGAAAGTCAAGTCGAGCTACGGTCAGGAGTGAAGGGGGGTGTTACGAATAGTAATGAGTGAAACATTACTGTGCACTCCTAGCTGCAACAAATCGAAGCACGCAGTACCGAGGTTGAATGTGAAAGGACAGAAGTGATGCGAAGGGTCGTACGGTTACGAAAGGATCTGGACCGTCGGGCAGACAACACCGAGCAGCAACAGTGGCGAGGATTCTGCCGCGACAGTTTCGTAACTGTCTCGAGTCGCACAGTTGGGTCTCGCTGTAATAAGGGAATGTACCCCTTAGAGTACATGACTAGCTAGGTCGTTTCATATTCCTTTGTACTCATGTTTATATTTGCCATATCTGCATATTTTAATCATCTCAAGCATTTTACATTCACTCTACTATTGAGGTCAAGGGCCCACCACTACTCTAACGTGTGCGAACCTTCCCGAGGTGATCCTAGGGTCGATCATTCTATGATCGTAACAAAACAAAGCAAAGCTCGGGGTGGATCTCATGTAAAAACATAATAATGCTTGTATTGTGTAGGCTGTAGTGGGGTAGCCCATAAGGGGTACAACACAATTAGGGTTAGTACTTGTACACTGTTTTGTTCTCAATGCATCATCCTCGTTTAGTATTCTGACATGGTTTCATAGCAGGTCCTGTTATAGAACCGTTATTTTTTTTTTTAGGGCCCACCGAATAGTTCCCTGCCCGTGGCGCATTACTCTGTTCGTAGCGCCCTACCCTGCCCGTCGCGCTGCCCCACCAGTCGCGCTGCCCTGCCCTGCCCGTGTGCCGCCCTGCTGGCTGCCGCGCTGCCTTGCCCTGCCCGCGCTGCCCTGCTGGCTGCCGCGCCGCCCTGCCCTACCTGCGCGCCGCCCTGCTGGCCGCGTGCTGCCCTGCCCTGCCCGTCGCGTCGCCCTGCTGGCCGCGTGCTGCCCTGCCCTGCCCGTTGCGCCACCCAGCTGGCCGCGCGCTGCCCTGCCCTGCCCGCCGCACCACCCTGTTGCCCGCGCGTCACACTCCCCTGCCCGTCGCGTCGCCCCGGTGCCCACGCGCCGCCCTGCTGGTAGTGCGCCGCCCTGTCCTGCCTACGCGGTGCCCTGCCCTGGCCGCGCGCCACCCTTCAATGGTCGTGCGCCGCCCCGCCCTGCCCAGCGCGCTTCCCTAGTGCCCACGCACCGCCCTGCCCTGCCCGTCGTCCTGTTGCCTGCGCGCAGCTCTTCCTTGCCTGCGTGCTGCCCTGCTGGTCGTGCGCCGCCGTGCTATGCCAAGTATGGCTTCTCTTAGTGTTCTCACCTTCGATTCTGAGGGCCGTCCGATCCAGTTTGAGACCTGGCTAGACGACTTACAGCTGTACCTACAGAGCGAGTCTAGGGACGGCGTCTCCTTGTTTGACCACACGTCTGGGACCTCTTTCGCTCCTCCCAAGACAACTGACAGTGCGACTCGCTCACAGTGGCTTACCCGTGACGCTACTGCTCGCCTCGCCGTTCGCAACCACCTGCCGTTAGCCGAACGCGCGCACTTTGGCCAGCACAAGACTTCTAAAGCAATGTTCACCGCTGTAGTCGCTCGTTACTCCTCCCCTGCCACTGCTGCTCTCGGCCGACTTATACTACCCTACCTTTTTCCTGAGCTGTCGGCCATTCCCACCATCGACAACCTCATCACCAATCTTCGCACTAGTGACACTCACTACCGCGCTGCCTTAAAACCGATTTTCTAAACAAGACCCCCCCCCCCCCCCCCCCCCCCCCCCCTATGTACATCACTTTGTACTTCCTCGTCACCCGCCTCCCTGACTCTCTTCGCGCAGTCAGGGACCTCCTTCTCACCCTTGACCCTACAGACCTCATTGTCGACCTGCTCCTTGAAGCACCTCCCTGCTGTTGTTGACTTCCTTCGTGCTGAGGAGGTCGGGGCTGCGTCTGCTCCTAGTGGGAGGCGCCGCAGCGGCAAGGGCGAGGGAGGCGAGAGCGTTGGGGGTGGCAGCGGTGGAGGCGGTGGTGGAGGCGGTGGAGGAGGCGGTGGAGGTGGCGGTGGTAGCGGTGGAGGCGGTGGGAGTGGTGGTGGGAGCGGTGGGAGTGGTGGCGGCAGTGGGAGTGGTGGCGGCGGTGGTGGCGGACAGGGTGGTACTGTTCAGAGGGGAGGTTCTGGCGGTGGCCAGAGGCAGCCGCAACAGCGTCCGCGTATGACACTTACGCCCCAACAGCTTCGTGAGTGGTTTGCTCGGCACACCTGCCTTTGGAGTGGCGCTGCTGTGAGTGCTGAGGGTGACTGTTACCTGTGTGTGCCGCCCGACCTAGGTATAGAGGCTGTTGCTCCAGGTGCTAGTGAGTCTCCTCTCTCTGGTACTGCCCCTCCTGAGGCCTTGCACGCCTTCACGCTCGACTCAGGTGCTTCTCGCTGCCTTTTTCGCGACAGTACCACAGTCACACCACTCCCTGCACCTGTTGCAGTCTCTCTGGCTGACCCCTCAGGGGGCCCGGTTCTTGCACGTTCCTCCACTGTTCTCCCGTGTCCCGCGGTTCGTTCTCTACGAACTTGGTGAGTACCGCTGCCCTCCAAGATGCGATGGTCACTACCAACACTCCTGGGGGTCAACGTGTGGCAATCTGCACGTGTACACGGATGGGCTGTCACCTGGCCACGTTCACCTGTGGGCCTGGGTCGAGTCTGTACACACTGACTACTGAGCCTACTCAGGTGGCTGCGTCTGGTCAGGTGTCTGCGTCAGGTCTGGTAGTAGCCCCCTGTTTGTGTCGCCTCCTCTCGCACCAGACTCTCCTCTGGCACCACCACCTTGGTCACCCCTCCCTGCCACGCCTCCGTGGCATGCACTTCGGCCTCCTTGTCTCTGGGCTTGCCAGGTCTCTGCCCCCCCTCCCGCGCTCGCCTGCCCCGCCCTGCCTTCCTTGCGTCGAGGGGCAGCAGCGCGCCGCTCCTCACTCCTCGTTTCCCCTGACAGAGGCTCCTGTACAGACTCTCCACATGGACGTGTGGGGCCCAACCCACGTCAGTGGACATGAACGCGGGCGGTATTTTCTGCTAGTTGTTGATGACTACTTGCGTTACACCACGGTCTTCCCCTTGCGCAGCAAGGGGGAGGTCCCTGATGTCTTGATCCCTTGGATCCGCGCTGTCCGTCTTCAGCTCCGCGAGCCGTTTCACCGGGACCTTCCTGTTCTGCGTCTGCACTCTGACAGAGGTGGTGAGTTCTCCTCCCACCTCGTGTGAGACTTTTGTCGTTTACGCTTCCGGCCTCCCCGCAGCAAAATGGGATTGCTAAGCGCCGCATTGGCTTAGTCATGGAGGTGGCTCGTACCTCCATGATCCATGCGGCTGCTCCCCATTTTCTGTGGCCGTTTGCGGTCCGGTACGCTGCGCATTAGCTCAACCTCTGGCCCCGTGTCTCCTTGCCGGAGACCTCGCCCACACTGCGTTGGATGGGGGAGGTTGGCGATGCGTCGGTGTTCCGGGTCTGGGGCTCTCGTGCCTTTGTCTGCGATACCACCGCGGACAAGCTCTCCTCCTACGCCATTTCCTCTGTCTTCCTTGGCTTTCCCACTAACGTGCGTGGCTGGCAGTTTTACCACCCCACCACGTGCCGTGTTCGGTCCTTTGAGTACGTCACCTTTGACGAGTCGGTTCCTTTTTACCGTCTCTTCCCCTATC